GTATTGCGTTATGACGTTTTGTGAAAAATCTGTATGCGATGGAGAAAAGTGGATATCATTTTCGGATTCAGCAGGAATTACTGTAGAACATGTAAAAATATCAAGACAATAAAACCATCGATGAACTCCTAGCGGTAGTAACCTAAAGTTAGTCGCTTGTTAGAAATAAAACGAAAAAAAAAAGTTTCGTTTAACTACTGATTACTATTAGTTGTCATTTCTCTTTGAAACGGATTTCGTCTGGTGAAAAATAACCTAATTAATGTCTGGCTGTTAACATTAAATTCACTGGCTGGCTCAATTTTCTTTTAACGACATCAAAAGAAAGAAAACGATAACACTGACTATAGTAGAAATGATCAATTTCGAGCTATGAATTGTTCTAGAAATGTTCCCCGTGTTATTCTTATAGGAAAAGCATTATGGGCAAAGATTTATTTTTAGAATTTGAAATAAATCCCAATTGTCTAATTCCACAATCTATATGTAGTTTAAACCTACTTGATAAAGAAGTCTGGATAATGAGATGATTTTCTTTCATCTTTAGAACTTATTACATTAATAAAATATAAAAATACTACGTACTGACAACCATTTTTTTTTTCAAGTAATGTTGCCTGCTCAAATTACGCAGTCTCTGATGGCTCAGGATGTTAATCGGAAAGTTATTAATGGACAGAACATGAAGTTTAATGATGGTTTTATCCCAAACTTTATCGATTATTTACCGATAATTTCTACATTATTATAAGTTTGCGCTAGAAGATGAATAGCGTAAATTAAACATATATATTTTCTGACGTCAGAACTTGGTTTCGGTAATGACTCGTGTAATTGTTTTCAGTGTTGTATAACTTGAACAAAAGAATATTGTTGATCAATATTACAGAACGTTTTCCTGACGGTTCATTAACCCCAGGAGCAAATAATAATGTGTTTAGTGTTATTCGAGGAGCCGACATTGAGGGGTTTAATAGGCAGTAAGAGTGATGTGTGTGGGGGGGAAGGGTAGTCAGTGCACGTGTTTGAACAGTAAAACTGTCCATTTATTATCTGCATTACCAATAAAACAAGTGGGTATTATTTTTTTTTATTGAAAATATAACCCACTTGATTTTTAAACTTGTCTTGAGTCAATCTTGTACTTAGCGTGCTTGGACTACTATGATTGTTTGTTTGTTTGTAATTAAGCACAAATATACACAATGGGCTATTTGTG